ATCGAGAGAGAGAGAGAGAGAGAGAGAGAGAGAGAGAGAGGGAGGGGGATTTTTTATTATAATTGAGAGTACAAAGACTCTAAAATGATGCTTCGGAAAATCGATCCATATCAATCCTGGTATTGGCAGTTTTTTAAATTTTCCGAACTTAATCAAACTATGAAATGAAAATAACCTCATTGATTTCGTGCGTCCAAAGCGCTTTACATGTACATCCACCAGGAACACTCAAATTCAAATAATAAAGCCACGGATATATACGACATAAACAAGTGAGCAGCTTTGTGATCAAAAGAGACAGGAAAATATAACCATATCCATCTACTTAAAAGTTATCAACTTTGAATCATTTACAAATCGAAAAAAATTCTCTCGTTTGTGTTAATAAAGTGCCATAATTTCAAATCGACAATTTTTTGGTGGGGTTCGTGTTGCTTAGTCTTTAGTTTTCTATGTTGTGTCATCTGTACTATTATTTGTCTGTTTTGTCTTTTTATTTTTGGCCATGGCGTTGTCAGTTTGTTTTCGATCTATGAGTTTGACTGTCCCTCTGGTATCTTTCGTCCTTCTTTTTCAGACAAATTTCAAAATGAAAGAAGCCTTCTTTTATTAATTTATTAATATCAATAATGTGAAATTAAAAACACGTTCCGTCCAAGAGGAAGAGATAAATAGATGAAACAAATTTTAAGCACTTAAACTCCTTATTTGTATCTCTCATCAAACAGAATGCTTCAGATAAAAAACAACATATCCTCGCATCTATATACCCTATTAGAGAAATCTTTAAAAATAAAAAAAGATGCTACCATTTGCAGAAATAAGTATTGTTGTGTATGAATGACTTTCGGATAATCTTGAAATCTTCAAGTAAGCACAAAGAAAATATATTTGGAAAGCATTGTCGGAAATTGTCAAATCAAATCTCTATGTACATAAACAGAAAAAGAGCGAGACCCGCCGAGTACAGTGTCTCCATGCAGATTTATTTGTTAGTAAAATAGCTGTTTGTAGATTAACTAATTTATATTCTGATATTGCGACCAATATTTAAGATCTGCTCTTCCCACTTACAACCAATTATCATGATGGCTTTCGCTTACCGTTTGTAAATTTAAATATTATTTGTCCAAATATCAATTAGTGTAAAATTAATAATACAGTTGTTTGCCAAAAACATGTTTTTAGATAACACCAAAAATTAGTCCATCAAATGTCCTGTCAGATTCGTAACTAATTAACCGAAACCTTTCTAAGCCATAATTAAAATTATTCAACAATTTAGAAACTGCCAAAATAAATAAAACGCCAAAATTGTTCGTATACATTTTTCAACCTAAACAGCAAAACTTTACAACCGCGAAAAAAACCGCTATACAATATCCAATATCATCTTTATGCTTATGTAATCGTATCAGTTTTTGCAATGTTTCTTTACTTCCCGTTGAGATAATGACAATACTTGTTATATTGCTTTATTTGTCCTTGGTCTCGCATATTTGTCATCTTAAGCGTAACAATGTATAAAAAAAATAGAAAAAAAATCATTGTAAAGCAGTGCTTGTGACCCTTATGAAGTACTAGTTGACATGAAAGCTGAGCTTTTGCTCCGTGAAGGCCTCACTAAAACTTTTATTGATTGAAGAATGATTGTTATTTGCTTAACGTGCAATGGCAATATTTCATGAAAATTCCCGACGTGACAAAAACCACTAGAAAAAACAATGTTTAGGTTTTGCAAAGTGGGTCGGCCGGGATATGGACTGGACACACTGAAAATTTAAATTAGTCACTATGACTATTCAGCTAGTCAAATATTAGCCGAAAGGTAGTCAACAGCATATATGACTACTAATCTAGTCATTGTGACTACCTGCACGGTCAATTTGACTATGTTAGTGGTCACAGCACCACGTGGTGTAGAGTATCGGTTTTCACGCGCACTCTTTCGCGTTCCTTTTGTTCCGTAGATCGTGTAGATGTAAACAAACCAGGAGGCACGAAACTGTTATTTTGTCAATTAAACCAATTGTTTAAAGTAAGTATCATGTATATATGTTTTAATTCTAACTTACAAAAATTAAATTTAAGAAAGAGAAGTGTAATGAATGTAATATCGGCACATGTTGACGTAATGACAATAAAAAAGGGGGAGATATGTATACGGGATATCAATTTTGATACATATTCAACGTATTGTCGATTGAAAAGAGTATTTAGCGATATCTTTTTTTCATCTGACCAAAAACTGTTAAAAATAAACACTGCAATCGATATTCACAACAATAAATTAAAAAAATCCTCAGGGTGGCTGTCAAGATCCTGGTGCTTACATTACAATGATGTGATATAGGATGGGTGGCTGTCAAGATCCTGTTGCTTACATTACAATGTTGTGTTATAAGATGGGTGGCTGTCAAGATCCTGGTGCTTAAATTACAATGCTGTGATATAGGATGGGTGGCTGTCAAAATCCTGGTGCTTACATTACAATGCTGTGGTATAAGATGGGTGGCTGTCAAGATCCTGGTGCTTACATCACAATGTTGTGGTATAAGATGGGTGGCTGTCAAGATCCTGGTGCTTACATTACAATGTTGTGGTATAAGATGGGTGGCTGTCAAGATCCTGGTGCTTACATTACAATGTTGTGGTATAAGATGGGTGGCTGTCAAGATCCTGGTGCTTACATTACAATGTTGTGATATAGGATGGGTGGCTGTCAAGATCCCGGTGCTTACATTACAAAATAATGGTATAAGATGAGTGACTACATCACTAGATCAAAGATTTTAAAATTTGTTTTTTTCTTTTAACTTTTAACATGACTGATATACTTGTTTATTGTTATATTTTAGCTTCTGAAATGATATAATTATATTTTTCAGCAAATGAAGACATTGCTATTTGTATGAGCACAGCTGAGAGATTTTTGACCAGAGAGAATATTACACTGACATATGCAGAGTTGATACCGACAAAATATCTTAAATAAACACTTCAAATTCTGACATACTGAAAATGTATAAAATATATATTTAAGTTGGGATATCATAATGTATGTAACAATGAGTTTATAATAAATACATTTTCTTTATTTGATTTTTAGACTTTTAATATATGTCACTGAGTAATGGTAACACACGGAAACTTAAGATATAGGAAGGTTTTGCACATTGAGCACTTTGTGGTCCTATACTGTTGTCATTGTTAGTATTGCTGCTGTGGTATTTTTATGATATTATATTCCAGATGCATTTGTCAATCCTATGGAAGAGAAACAACATAAAGTAGAATAACAGAAGAAATGAAACACAAAAGTACAGAACGGATAGAAACACACACAAAGTAAAATGGTAGAACAAAAAACACAACACAAATTAAAATAACAGTCTAACAGTCTAACAGTCGTGATTATTCACAGTAATCGTGTTGACTAACCAACATGGTCACTTTCGACCATTTCAATAAGTCATATGGACTGCATTCAATTGTCAAACTGACAAATGTGCAGTCAATTGAACAATCCAATTCGTCATAACGAGTATAACATATAGTCATTTTGACTTCCTAACATAGTCATAATTACCACCCTACTCAGTCAAATGTGACTAACCATCTAGTCAAACGACTAAGAGCATAGTCAAAATGATTAAAGTGCATTGTCATCTAGAGGACAGTCAAAATGACCAATTAAATTGGTCAAATTGACTAATTTAGGTTTTCAGTGCACTGTTTGATAAGAGCTGAAATGGTTCTCTTTCAACAGACCAACTTCTGGATCCTCAAAGAGTTGTTACAGGAATTCATTGATTTTTGGAGAGCATGTACTCTCTCTGCACGAGGATTAGAATTTAAGGTCCTTAATTTTTAAGATTTAAAGTAGTTGTGTCTGTTTACATCCCCAAACAGACGGCCGTCCTTAGTACATGCATGGGTTTTACCGTCGATATGGAGAAGTTCACGGATTACCACTTTTCTATGAACCAGTCAACTATTTGGGTTTTCTGACTTCGAGGTGAAGATCAGCAAAACGTGTTTTGATTCTTTGGTTTTGTTTAGTGTATGCACGGATTTTGTATCATGAATTGATACACCATAAAAGACAACTCGGACCGAGACAAGTCGGACCAATTTAAAGTTATTTCGGACTATTTAAAAGACAACTCAGACCAGATGGCAGAGACAAAAAAATGCAATGAATATATAAAAAAAAAGTTGTAATAAGTGCTCCAAATTGTCTTTAAAAATGTTCCGATTTGTCTTTTAAACTGGTCTGAGTTGTCTTTAAAAGTTGGCCGAGTTGTTTTTAAAAGTGGTCCGAGTTGTCTTGGTCCGAGTTGTTTTTTGTCCGAGTTGTTTTTTGTCCGAGTTGTTTATTCAAACACTTGTCATATTGGATGTTAAGGTCAGGTTACAGTAAATGGGCTATCATGGCAATGTCACAGATTTTCTTAAAATTTTTCATACAACTTTGGCTTGTTGAACTTCTACTGAAAATTAAAATAATAATGAATTTATCTCTTTTATTTTCTGAAATATTACTGATTGACTTCTCTCAAAATAGATAAACCTTGGTGTTTCAAATAATAAAAAATTTGTGAACATTAAATTAACGGAAAGTTGTCCGAGTTATTTTAAAAGTGGTCCGAGTTGTCTTGGTCCGAGTTGTTTTTCGTAATCATGGTAATAGTGCAACAATGTTAAAAAAAAATCATTGTCTTTACTTATGCTTGCTAATTTTGAAATATTTTTTCGACTTCTTAAGTACCATTACCTTTTACTTTAAAAAAAAAACAAAACAGAACGTTGTACTTCCGGGGTTGTACATATAACTTTAGTATAGGTGATTTCCATTTCTACTTTTGTGCTTTAATTCTCGCGTTTACTGTTTACTTACGATATGTTCCGGTTGTATAAATACTGTCCAACTAAAATTGTTTTAATTATAGATTTCTAAATATAGGGTTTATTTTTATCTTATAAATATAATATACAAGTCGTTGTGTTTATATTCATAATAAACAGAGAATGGCCAAAAATATAAAGTGTGTTGTGGTGGGTGACGGGTATGTTACTTATTTATTTGGTATTCTTAAATTAATTTTGTACTCATTAAATATCAATACATTTATTAAAAGCCTTAATGTTTGTAGGATATCTTTCCGTTAATCAAATGTTCACAAATTTTAAATCATTTGAAACACCAAGGTTTATCTACCCCAAGGCACAGAACAGATAGTAGTCAAAAACATAAAATGTGTTGGAGTCGGTTACAGATAAGATATAGTACACTCTCTATTCCCCCCCCCCATATCCCCCTCCCCCTTCCCAAGCCTCATCAGAAAAAGTCCCAACCCAAAACTTGTCAACTTTGTTTTTGGTAACACGAAGTAATGTATACAAAACAGATTAACAAATAATAGAAATCGAACTACACATATTAATGATGAAAACGGCACATTATCCTGGGTCTACTTACAATATGAAAATAATGAGATTTGATATGATTGCCAATGAGACAACTATCCACCAAAGTTCTTAATAATTGTTATTTTTTGATTTCTTTAAAGACTTTCTACATTTACAGTGCTGTTGGTAAAACTTGTCTGTTGACTTGCTATGCAACCGATACCTTCCCCGAGATGTGTGTACCAACTATGTAAGTATCAACTGATACCTTCCCCGAGATTTATGTACCAACTATGTAAGTATCAACTGATACCTACCCCGAGATGTATGTACCTACTATGTAAGTATCAACTGATACCTTCCCCGAGATGTATGAACTAACTATGTAAGTATCAACTGATACCTTCCCCGAGATGTATGTACATGTACCAACTATGTAAGTATTTGGCGGCAACTATATGATTTGTTGCTAAAAGAGTCACACGTGTTTAATTTATTGACTTCTTAGACATGCTGAGCATAAACAATCTCCAGCACAAAGTTCACATCCGTTCCGTATGTGTTCCGCAATACTCCACTTAATTTGAATGTGTAGTGTACGGAGTACGAAACGGAACGAATATAAACTAGGCGTATAAGATTAAAACATTCTCAGATGAAGAACAACATATTACTCTCCTTGGGGGTATATACGGACCTATTAAATTGGGCATAAATTTTGAATTTGACTTTAGTCTTTATGGTTCATGTTTTAAATGATTCAAATTGTTATAGCTCTTCAGTTACACTGCATTTGAAAATGCCATTGAACAAAACATCATACAATAAGAGATTTGAGCGTGTGGCTTTACTTTTTCGCTCTTCGTTAATAGCATTTTCTACTCTGTAATTTTATTCAAGCGCGTGTACATCGAGTGATGGTTTGAACATGTTGAATAATAATTTCACTTTGTAAGGCTGCAGTAAAATCGGGAAATTAGGGAGTTATATCATGATCTTGTCAAAATGGTGCCGAATTACCCGTTACAAATTCATTTATTTAACTTTCAGTAATTGTAATATATGTTATATATTCTTTACTTTCAGTAATTGTAATATATGTCATGTATATTCTTTACTTTCAGTAATTGTAATATATGTCATATATATTCTTTACTTCCAGTAATTGTAATATATGTCATATATATTCTATACTTTCAGTGATTGTAATATATGTCATATATATTCTTTACTTTCAGTAATTGTAATATATGTCATATATATTCTTTACTTTCAGTAATTGTATTATATGTCATATATATTCTTTACTTTCAGTAATTGTAATATATGTCATATATATTCTTCACTTTCAGTAAAAATTTATATTAATGTACGACTAAATTTTATTTGAGCAGATTTGATCACTATTCGACGACAGTTTGGGTTAATCAGGTACCAGTAGAGTTAGGTTTATGGGATACAGTTGGACAGGAAGATTATGACAGGTTACGTCCCTTGTCATATCCCTTAACGGTACGTGGCTGTGTTTAATCATATCATGATATAAAGTTACTATCATATTATAATTTAATTTGGATGTAACATGTCTTCAGATTGGCTGAAAATTTTTGTCTACCAGCTCATAGACACGATTTTGTCATGTGACCGTGACGTCATCAACTTTTTCCCATGATTTACTCCTTAGAAATGGAATAAAGAATTAAGTTATAAGGAATAACTTTTTTTTCTATTTTTGCACAGTGTGCACAACATTTTTATGTTATTTCTTAATAGACAGAAAAAAATATTACAGTCATTCCTTAAATGGAAAAGAGTGACGACGTCAGTATTTTTTTAGTGGAATATTATCCTATATGTTATAGAAAAATATTAAATATAAATATAGACAAAGATTGCTAAATGATACATAATATCAAAGAGTTACTAAAAAAAAACCAACAAAAAGAATGACTACAATTATTTTTTAGGATGTTTTCGTATTATGTTATGCTGTTGATATAAAAGCGAGTTTCCAAAATATCAAGTCAAAGGTTAGTTTGTAAACGATATCGTATAAAACTAAACATGTTTTAATCATATTTTATCACAAACTTGCTGGTCCTCGCTTCGCCTCGCTTCGCCTTATTAGCGAAGCGTGGATTCATGATCTGTATTGTAATCAAATTGATGTTAACCTATATAGACTATGCTTCAGCAGATACATTGTACACTTCAGATCACTATCTTGTAATCCAAAATATAGAAAATCATCACACACCTGGCTTACCATTTTCCACGTCAGTCGCGTCTTCCGTCTCAATAGTAATGAAAACCAAATATTAAAAAGTTATGATTAATCTCATTAAGGACATCTGTCATGGATGATTGTTGTAAAACTTCATTATTTCGAAGGGGTTTTAAATTCATGAGAAGCACAGTTACAGAAAATGACATCTTAAATAAAATCCATCAAAAAAAAAGACATGAACCACCATTTAAAGGTCAACATTCCTTGTGGAAGGGTACAAATGAAGTTACTAAAATTATCTTCTATATCGATATTGTTCCTTAGATTCTGTATGGGGTCTTCAATATCTGTATTTTTTAATTTTTAATTTAGATCCTTTTTTTCTATAGTTGTTTTGGGCCTTTTTTCCGTTCTGTATATTTTGACAATAAATTACTCTTTTCCTTTGTAGGTTTATTTTCTCCATTATTTTTTTTACCCATTGTTCTCTAATATAAACCCCATCCAGACCCTCTCAAATGTATGATTTCTGGTATAATGGTTCCTCACAGAACTTTTAAACTCACAAATCATTATGTATTATTTTTAGTGGTATCCTGAAGTTTCACATCATTGTCCAGATGTCCCAATCGTACTGGTGGCTACCAAAACAGACCTAAGAAAAAAATCCATGAAATCTAAAAATAAATCAAAACAGATTAATGACACAGTTTCAAGTGAAAAAGGGCAAGCGCTAGCCAATGAAATAAAAGCCGTGAAGTACTTGGAGTGTTCAGCACGAACTATGCGCGGAGTAAAAGCAGTTTTCGACGAAGTAATCAAGGTAGTACTTTTACCAAATAAACAGAAAAAGTCTAGACAGCAAAGATGTAAAGTGTTGTAGAGTTGCATCCTTTGTACATGTAAGTCGGCTTGAGCTCAGTGACTGTCTATGTAAAGAAACGATGACACTTGTGTGATTAAATCCTTAGAAATGATTAATCAAAGATAATGTAACAGCAACTAAACATTATCATTCGGAGGAAGCTGATAGACGATTTACCATTAAAAGAGTATGAAAAAGAAGAAATAATATACTCATATATAACATATTGAATTTCTTTTTTTTAGTAACATGCTGAAAAGAACAGTGGAAGACATTTTTTACATGTAATTTTTTTTTTCTAAAATGCTAAGAAAACACCAATGTATTTATCTGCTGAATTTTAAAGACGGACAATTCATTTCTTTTTAAAATCGAATCCGTTTGAATTTAAATTCTAACACACAAATGAATACCGCTGCTAGGTGGATTATTATACTATAGGTATTGAACAATAAAAGATATTATGACATAGTTTAGTCTTATTTTATTGCTTAGTCTTTAATACAATTATATTTGTGATGTATTATAAAATGAAATTAACACTTTGTAAAAGAGGGACGAAAGATACCAGAGGGACAGTCAAACTCATAGATCGAAAACAAACTGACAACGCCATGGCAAAAAATAAAAAGACAAACAGACAAATAATAGTACAGATGACACAACATAGAAAACTAAAGACTAAGCAACACGAACCCCACCAAACACTGGGGTTGATCTCAGGTGCTCCGGAAGGGTAAGCAGATCCTGCTACACATGTGGCACCCGTCGTGTTGCTTATGTTATTACAAATCCGGTAAATAGTCTAATTCGGTAAGTCACATTCGTGAAAAGGAAGGGTATTGTAGTTACGACATAAGGAACATATCCGATATCATCTGTGAAACAGTTATTCCATAACGGTCAACCAACTCGTGATGGCGTCCGTAAAATTTACGAAGGATGATTTCAACTTCCCCATTTGGAACTCTTGGTTTAATAGCTTCCTTGTGAGCAGCAATCCTCTATCACGGAAATCATGATAGGAAACACATGCCCGGGAATATCGTATCAATTGTAATTGTTATACATCCGAAGCTTTTTTTCTCTCAAAGCAAACAAAAACGAGAGCCAAGGATGTACATGTACCGGAACACGAAAAGATTTCTAAGACCAAAACGGACCTTAAAATAATTGCCAAATCCATATAAGGTCAACTTTGAACGTGAAGGCAGATGGTCCGGGAAGCATGCAAAGCTCACCTGGTAAAATATGCGATTTTGATATCTATGTCATCTTTTCTAGATCAAATTGGTTTTTTTTTTCCATAAACAAATTATTTTTTACCGGCGACTTCTGTAGGGTAAATACAGGCTAAAAATTATTTCTCAGAACATTACTTATTTACTTGAAAAATTGATATAAAAATATACAAGGTGAAGCGCAAATCATTTTAATCGAACCGCACTGAAATTAAAATGTTTTCCATCGATCCGTTATTTTAATGGTTTATTGTATAATGTTTGGTCAACTCACATTTATATCTGCACAAGGAAAACACTTTGTTACTCTAGGTTTCGTTTGGCTTATTTTCCTGTTTAATTTTAAATATTTTTGATTACATTTTATTCTTGGGGGTGAGGGATTTGATGTATTTTGGGGAACGTATGGTAAAATTGTTTGCTGTCTTGTTTTTTTCTCTTCCCGATTCCGGACTTGAAAGTAATTAATTCGATGGAACGGACAAGATTGACCAAAATAAAAAATTCATACCTGAATGGTATGTACAGTAAAATCATTCTTTCTTACAACAATGTCACGCTATGTCTAGTGGTCCAGGTATTCATTCTGGTCCTTAAGTCCTCCAGATATCTTGATTTCACTGTCGATTCTAGTAGTATGTCCCGCTCTCTCGTTCTTTTCAAGGGGGAGAAGAATTAGAGAACTGGTTTACTTTTCTTTGTCTTAAGGATGTACACCTCTGAGGAGCCAAAAATTTCTAGAATTAAACTTTTTTTCTTAACCTGATTTTTGGGTTTATATGACTGTAAACAAATAATTGGTGAAGACAAATCATATGATGGTGCACTTCTTTTTATGCTACGGTCCTTTGAAAGTACCCAATTTTGATGATTTTCCCATTTTTCATAATTTTTTACCCATTTTTGGGCTATTATCGTGAAAAAAATATCAGTTCCACAATTAAACTTTTGTTCATAATTTCAATAAAGATGAAGTGGACCAATCTGAATAAATTTAACTTAAAAACAAACTATAGGTAGGTGTCCACGGCCGTCACTCGGCTAACCGAGAGATTGGTCGGTTAATCTATATTGAGTATGCGGCTATATCGGCGGTTGATCTGTTAATTGGGTTGGCTAAAGTCTGTTAATCAGGTGTTATCGAGAAAATACTTGCAAGTTCAGTATGTTTCATTGTATAACCTTTTAAATATATTTTTTATCATAAAAATTATTCATGTCTGACAAAACAATTCAATGTACTGAATCCAGTGGTGTAATTATTTTTTTTTTTAGCTTCGATAAACAATCAATAAAATGAAAAGGCGGGTTACTCATCAATAAATTTATACACATTTTACACACACAAAATGTACACAACATGACAACTTGGCTGAATTTACTTGCATGCAATATTTTGAACATCGAAAAAAGACAGGCATTATGTTTGTTAACCATATTAATATCATTGTGTGAAAAATCTACACGAAAATCTGTATTTTGGTGATATTAATCAATTTTTATTAAAAACCTGGTCTGTTAATGGGTCGGATGTATAAAACCCGGTCTGTTATTTGGTCTGTTAAGAGTTATGAATGGCAATGAAAATATAATTTGATTGCTTTATGGGGAGTTATCGGATCAAATGGGTAGGCTCAAGACGAGTGGCTAAAATATACGGAAACAACACATGAACAATGAAACATAAATTTAGACAATGGAAATTGGAAATTGATAAAAATGGTTTCAAAAAGTGTAATATTAAAGTAATATTAATTTCATTCAATAATGGTCGCATATATCATGTGAATTCTGTTTCGTTGTTATGAATGACACCAATTTGTCATCTACATGTACATTGGTAACCAGTATATACATCATTTTATAGTTCGTTCTTATGTTGTACTGTTATACCACTGTCCCAGGTTAGGGGAGGGTTGGGATCCCGCTAACATGTTTAAACCCGACACATTATGTATGTATGTGCCTGTCCCAAGTGAGGAGCCTGTAAATCAGTGGTTGTCGTTTTTTTATGTGTTACATATTTGTTTTTCGTTCATTTTTTTATATATATAAATAAGTCCGTTAGTTTTCTCGTTTGAATTGTTTTACATTGTCATTTCGGGGCCTTTTAAAGCTGACTATGTGGTATGGGCTTTGCTCATTGTTGAAGGCCGTACGGTGACCTATAGTTGTTAATTTCTGTGTCTTTTTGGTCTCTTGTGAAGAGTTGTCTCATTGGCAATCAAACCATATCTGCTTTTTTATATCAGAGATAAACGTCGTAATGTAACTAACATCAGTAAGTAAAATATATTGGGATGCTAAAATATATATAAAGAATAGAGAAAGAATAATGAGAAAAATAAATAAAATGTAGAGAAAAGTGACATAACAATTTAAAGAATACAGAAATAAACAACACCCCAATCCGGACCCTCATGGTATACACGAGAATCTGGATGGAGACGCAGAATATAGAATAATAGATAAGGACAGCAGAGAGTGATGCATTGCTAAAAAAGAGAGAAAAATAACAATTGTTTAGGAATACAGACATGAAACACCCCATTTTACTATTTAGACCCTCCAAGATGACTGTTACAACAATTTTGGCATTTATTCCACATCTCCTTATTTTTAAATTAACAGTATAGACAACGATATCTATATAGATGTTTTGCAATTTTTTTTACTGTATATCACTTTATGTTATTTGAGACTGGAGTCCGATAAACATTGGCCTCCTGTCAACCGCTGAATCTGATAGCTCAGTAAATATTGTAAAGTGCAAACAAAACAAAATTTCAGGGGGAGGGGCAGGTTGAAACAGTAACGGATTGCAATGTACTCAAATTGGTGACAAATGCTAGAATTTTACAAGCGCACAACTGCAGTTCTCCTCTGCACTTATGTAGAATGGAACTAAACGGAATAAAATGAATTAAAACTTAAGATAATCAAATGTAGCTGCATTCGCTTCTTTCCATTTACTTCTTTAGAATGTTTTGTAAACAACATATGATTATAAGTACTAGAACAAAAGAACCAATTGGATGATGCTGACGAATTAGGGTTTAACGTCCATTGGCAAATATCATGTCCATATGAGAACGACAACACGTTATATGTACCCGGTGTTGTATAAGACAGACACTTTCAGTCGGATTTTTGAACGTGCTTCTTTGAACAGACACAAAAATCAAGGCTGATTGAAAACGTTAATAATAAATTCATGCATATTCCAGCGGCCAATCCATATCACGCTATATTGCAGTGATACACCTTTCAATAAAATGCAAAGAAAGTCAAAATAAAAATGCTCTTACTACAAGGATACTGTTGCACCGTATTGTCATTTTTTTTTTTACTCAAGTATATCTCATTCTTAACTTTTTTAATGGGATATTTTAAAGGTAGCAAAACTATTGTCGTGGCTAAATAACTCTTAACTGACACATTTTTAATTGTCCAACCCATTAACAGACTTTATTCCCCTAATAGTCACTAAAACGTGGTATTACTCACGTTATATTACAATTATGAAATATTTACTAATGTCAATTTATTTTTTAGAACCAAAGTACTATTTTGTGTCCTTTAAATGATATCTAAAATTGTTTGTTTCGCCTTTTATTAAAACAATTGCTATGCGTATAAGCATAAATACCACATACTTGCGCGACGCCTTTTAGTTTTACTGAAGTTTGTGCAGACTATGAAATGTTTTTACAGGTGGAAAATGTTCTATGATAGATATCATTTTGTCAGACACTTTTCTGTTTTTTATTTGGTTCTTATAATATGCCAAAAATCTGTATATTTAACAGAGTTGAACATTTAAATTGTGCGTTTTACTCTTAACAGACGTATAACCGACCCGATTAACAGACCAACCGCCCATATAGCCGCATACTCAATATAGATTAACCGACCAATCTCTCGGTTATCCGAGTGTCGGCCGTGGTGTTAATATAAGAAAGTTTTATCATATTTTGATGCTTTTTCGGGTCAAATTTACCATTCTGTCAATTTTGTAAATTTGTGATTTTTTTCTATATTAAGAACAAAATGCGTATTATTTCAACTTCTTTGTTATAAATGATTGAAAAAATACATATCTAAGAAATTTGAAAAGAAAAAGTGATATGGGATGTACATGTTCCTGGTAAATCATTTCTTATACCCCTCACCCATTTTCTCAAATTTTGGCTAAAAAGACTGACTTGATTGGTAATAAAATTTGAAAAA